CAGCCCAGAGTATTTTTTTTTAATTAATTAATAGAGTAGTAAATTCAAGTGTTATCAGTGGGAAGACTGTGCAGACAAAGATGTTTCAGGTTATGGCTCTGCTGAGTTCTGACTTCTCTGCTGCAACTGCTCCTGGAATAGAGGTTTAGTTTTGGACTTCACTGTATCTACACAGTAGCTGATACTCTAAATCCTAACTTATGATTTGCAACAATCCCCAAAATTATAAAAAAACCCCAACCCACACCACACAGTAACTACACATTAACATGGCCTGATTTGCTGTGCTAATATTCAGTAGGAATCCATGGTGCCAAACCAGCACCTTCCAAACAAAAATGCTGCACTTGGTCATATCTGAGAAGAAAAATGTAGGTAAGGAGAAAGATACCACACTTAGGTAGTTCAGCCATTCTCCTCAGTCCAGAGGCAACATCATCCTTGTTCCAGGCTGTCCTGAGAGGGGCCTGAGCCTTGTTTCCCACACAGACAGGCACCCCCAGTAACTTGCAAACAAATCAGAAATAAAGCACATGCTAAGCCCCTCTCAATGGTGACAGTTTGCAGCATAAACAGGAAAGCATCACCAAACAGCCTCTGTCACTTGGAAGAGCTCTGGGAGGGCCTGTGCAGAGATTTGAGAATGGACAACTGCAAATGTTAACCCAGAGATGACCACAAGCAGGGATGTGTAATCTGGATAATCTCTGAGTAATGCCTGAGAAGGTGCAGATCAGGACACAGCACCAGGACAGTCCCTGTGTAGTTGTGGGTATTATGGAACTGGTAAAATGCAGGGGGAATTTTCCGTATGAGTCATACCCTATTACTTTATTTTAAACCCAATCCCATATATGACATTAATTATTTAAATTATAATTGCAAAGTGACAAATAAACCTGCTGTGTGCCAACAAAATCCACCAACACAAAAGCAGCAGCTGGAAAAAGGACAGACCCATTCTTGTATCCTAACAAGAAGAACCCCCTTAGTTTTTCCAGTGAAAAAGCATCCAGCTCAGTTAGATTGCTACATTGCAAGTATTCCATTACAGATGCAAAACTTATTAAATCTGGAAAAGAACAATGACAGTGAAGCCAAGAATAAAGTGGAAATCCTTGACTTCCAACTCTGGCATTGTTTTACAAGCTGATTTTAAGAATTCACAATCAGAATCTGTGTATTTTCAAGACACATTTCCAAGTCTTTTAAGACTAACTAGAATAAACCTACTTGTGTTTATGACTTCAACAAAAGACACAGCATAATATAGTTTTGAACTGTTTATTTCACATGTTCCACACTGGAGTTTCTTCAGTTAAAAGTTCCTAGAAGAAAACGAAACAAACATTCTTACAAATGAGTTTGCCTCAACAGCTGAAGTAAATATCTTTGACCAACTGTGTAATCATCCTATAAATACAACGTACAGATTGTCATCCTTAAAGCTGGATTTGGGAATGCAAGTTCCCCCTGCAAGAGTTAGAGGATAAGATAAACATACGTACTTGGAAACAATTCCATCATTTTTCGCCAGACGCAAAATGGAGTCATCTGATTCACCCTGTAAAAAGAGAAAAGAATATTCTCAAGTGTCCAAATAATTGCTGACACATCTGGAAGAGAGGCAGCTGCAGCAGTTAGTGCAGATTAGTGTTTTCCAAATAAACTGTTAATTTTTTGTCATCCTTAAGGGTAAGAAATTTATTTGACTGCATAAAAATATGCATTTGCATGAGCAACGTGTATTTATGGATAAATGGACTTGTGATAAACTCCTCACACCATTTTTAAGTCAAGGTAGTATCATTTCCAGTAATTATAAACAACAGATAAAAGCCAGGATTAGTACCTTAGTACACATTCTTAAAAGAAAGAAAATCACTTGTGTCCTTAACTTAAAAAAAAACCAAGAAACATCTCCAGAAGAAATTGATTATTCCAAGTTAATCCAAGGCCCTGGCACACGTTGTCCATTGAAGCTGTGGCTGCCCCATCCCTGGAAGTATTCAAGGCTAGGATGGACAGGGTTTGAAGCAGCCTGGGACAGTAGAAGGTGTCCCTGCCCATGGAAGGGGTGGAATGATCTTTAAGGTCCCTCCAAACCAAACCTGTCTGTGATTCTGTGAATTTGTTCACATCTTCACTCTGCCTTCATTATCCCCAAAACACTCTTCCTAGTGTTTTCAGGGCCAAATCCACATCTAATTAATTACTAATGACCAGAAGAAGCAGCACAGTAGTTCTGCAGGTCAGGAAGGCACTCACCATTCTCCGGATGGGGCCGCAGATGGCGTAAGTCTTGAACTGGCCATTCACTCTGCCTGTCACCTTGTCCACCTGCAATCACAGCACAGCTGCTGCACACACAGATCCTTACAAATTTTACACTCTCACATTGCACTTGCCAAGCACCCAAAGTTAAAACTGCATAAAAATATTTGCTGTGTTGAGAAAATGAACCAAAACACCTCAAGGTAAATACTGGAGTTAGAAAGTCAACTACGATGATCTCTGCACAGCAAATTTGTAGCTACATAGTGCAGCCATAAAATTTAGTGGATCACATAGACTGACAGGACATGGTAGCTAAAAGAAAAAAGTATTTGAGCTCTGAACAAAGGGAAAAGCTCTGTGTAAACTAGATTTTCCCACCATTTCTCTTTTTATTGTTTCTTTTAACTAAGGTCGTATCATGGAAAATTGAACTGAAGAGGAAAGGGGACAGACTTGTTATGTGGGCAGGAAAATGTCCAAGCTGAGACATAAAATGGTCTCGCTTTCTCAAGCTGCTGAGATATTTTAACAGGAAAAAGGCTAAACAATATAAAACATGAAATTAAACAGTGCAGTGAATCCTGTAATACCAGATGGGTTCATTTCCATGTTCTGTTAATTGCTGATCCTTTGAAAACAAGGAATAGGAATCACTGAAGGAATGAAACAGGGTGACAAGAAAAGTATTTGCCTTAACAACTACAGGAAATCGGAATCAGGGTGGTTTTTTAAAGCTGGGTTTTGTTTTTCTTTGTGAGATAACTCATATTTTTTAAGAGATATGGGAATGTGGTCTCCCATTCAAGAACCAAACCAAGCTCTGTAGCTCATAAGCTACAGGAATATTGTGTCCACAAAATTCCTAAAAGCTGAATTGAATAAACAATTGGGAAAAAAGACCCAAACCGTGCTATAAGGAGCTTAAATTTATCAGAACCCACATGTATTAACTGGGAACCTGCAGGAGTCATGGTCTGTTGTGACATTCTTTACTGAATTACTGAAGATACATCACAAGCTGTTTAATTCTGTAACCTTTATCTAAAGTTTAAAGGTTTAGCTCTCTCTTCATGTATTCTGTTAATAAACTTACCTCAGAAATGTTTATCTGAATGGAAGCATGATCCTTAGCACCAATGATTCGGTTGCTAGCAGAGCTAAGGAATAAAACAGGATAGATTTAAACAAAAGGAAATAGGCAGTGACAATTACAAAAAAAAGCTACTAGATCCAATTCTACAGGCAAATTAAAACTGCACAAGAAATTTAGACAGTACCAGTTTAAGCTTTCATTACTTAGAAGATTAAAGTGCAGTTTTAAGTAAATTCAAAGGAAATTTTCACTCAGTAGCATCACACTAATTAGCCAGTTATCCTTTCACTTTGGTTTCTATGTGCCCAGTTCACCTTCATACAGTGTACAGGGCAGCACAGGACTTCAAAACACACAGAACGTTATTTTCTATTCTAAAATGCAAAAATACAGTCATCAAGGTAATTGATAAAATTAGTTTCTATGCCTCTTTTGCCGAGAGCCACTACAGCTGTCAAAGACAGGTTGGAAATGCTCAGGAATCACAGGTTGTAAAACATATTTCATTTAATCTAATAAAATTCATACAAGTGGCTTATACTTAATGACTTTTTAAACTGACAGAAAAGTGCCTTCCCCCACCCCAGATATTTGATGCTACAAAGTTCACCCCTTTGCACAGGCCTCAGGAGCCACTCCAGCCCTGGCTCCTTGGTCCCTGCTCACCATTTCCGAGGGACATAAAGGTCCACGAACTCCCCGGCGTCGTTCTGCATCTCCTCCTGGTCCCTGCAGAGGCACTAAGCAGAAACACCTGAAAGAACCGCGGAATATGACGAGTTGGAAGGGTCCCACAAGGATCACCGAGTCTCAGTGCTGGCCCTGCGCGGGCACCCAACAACCCCACCCTGAGCATCCCTGTCCAAACGCTCCCGGAGCTCTGGCAGCCTCCGGGCCGTGCCCGTTCCCCGGGGAGCCTGGGCAGTGCCAGCACCCTCGGGGGGAAAAAACCTTTTCCCAATATCCACCCTCACCGTCCCTGACACAGCTGCAGCCCTTCCATCGGGTCTTGTCGGCCACAGCGACCAGAGCTCCCCGCGCCGTGAGGGGATGCCGGAGGCCGGCCGGACCCGCGGGCTGCGCCCTGCAGCCGAACCGTCCCCGGCCTCAGCATCGCTCCTGGGGCCCGGCCGCCATCGCCCCCGCCACTGGCCCCGCCATGGCTCCCACCGGCCCCGCTCCCACGGCTCCCACCGCTCCCGGCCCCGCCGCCATGGCTCCCACCGCTCCCGGCCCCGCTCCCACCGCTCCCGGCCCCGCCGCCATGGCTCCCACCGCTCCCGGCCCCGCTCCCACGGCTCCCACCGCTCCCGGCCCCGCCGCCATGGCTCCCACCTCGCGCGCGGCCGGGCGGAAAGGAAGGGGCAGGAGCGGACACGGAATTACGTCACAGCCCCGCGAGCGCTTCCTGCGCCACCTCGTGACGTCACGGGCCGGGCCATGGCGGCGGCCGCCCCGCAGCGCTCCCCGCCGGGCCGGGCCGGGCCTGGCGTGCGGCTGAGGGAGCGTCCCTCCCCTCCTTAGGGGGTGCACATCTGAGCGGGCCTCTCAGGTGACATGCCAAACGTACCTGGGCCGCCCCGTGGCACCTGCTGCAGGCGGGCTGGACTGGAGGATCTCCGGAGGTCCCTTCCATCCTGAACGCCTGTGTGGTTCCATGAGCAGAGCAGCCCGGAACCCTCGCAGACACCCCAAAGACCATTCCGAGCTGCTGGAGGGGGCCGGGGGAGGCCCCGGCCGTGATGAGGGGGCTGGAGCATCTCAGGAGGAGAGACTGGAGGAGTGGGCCTGTTTATTCTGGAGAAGACCTGAGAGATCTCAATCCATACAAGTATCTCTAAGGGGTGGCAAAAAATGTTGCCAGACTCTTTTTTAGTGGTGCCCAGCAACTGGATAAGGGGAGATGGCCATAAACTAAAACACAAAAACCCCACCTGAACTTGAGGAATAATTTTCCATTAAAGGTGGCAGAGCACTGGAACAGCTGCCCAGGGACATGGAGGAGTCTCCATCTGTGGAGACATTTCAAACCCAGCCGGACACCTTCCTGTGTCACCTGCTCCAGGTGACCTGCCTTAGCAGCAGGGTCAGACAGGATAATCTCCAGAGCGCCCTTCCAACACCATCCATTCTGTTATTCCAAAATGAGACACTCGGTTACAAACCGCGTACTAAAACAGGTTTTATTTCACAGCATCTTAATTTCACAGAAGAATAAAAACAACCAACCAAACAAACAAAACCCAAAACAGGCTACAACTCAGACTTTTAAATAATGGAATATGACAAAACTAGAAGGGTTTTTGTTTACAGGAAAGTGTACAGGCTCTTCTCAAGAGAGTTCTCCGTGCTGAACCACCCCAGCAGCACCTTCACAAAGCACCAGACCCCTCCTCGGTGTAAACCTGTTTCTCTTCAGAGCAAGAGGAGTTTGGCTGTGCAAACGTAAACCAGCAGGTCTGGGTCAGGCTTTGGGTCCCGAGCTGAGTTTGTGAACAGACAAGGTACTGATAGTCCTTTGCCACATGGTGGCAGCTTTTAGGTGAAAAGAGAGAGATTCCCACACAGGACTGCGAGCTGCGCTCTGGAAACGGGAAAAGCAGCGGGCAAAGCACACGGAGGTGGGGGTGGATCCCTGCAGAAGGGCTGTTCCTGCACAGACACACGAGGCACCCCGTGCACAAACCCCAGGCTCTGGGCAGCATCACCCCGAGCCCAAGCTCTGCCAGACGAGGCTGGCACGGCCCTCGCTGCCCTGCATCATCCTTGGCCCGTGCTCCCCAACTCCAGCGTGTGCCCAAGCCAAGTTCTAGAGTAACTATTAGACAACATCCAGCTTTCTGTAATTTAATGCTCCTTTATCCCAATTTGTTCTCCTGGAAGAAAATAAAAGCTTGCCGGTTTTATGACGTAAACCCACAGATTCTGGGAGTGTAATTACAGCCCAAATGGCCACTTGAACTAGACAAACTTCCACTGAATAGAGACTGCAAAGTGTTGCAAACCAAAGTGTGTTTTGTTCCCTTAGATGGTGGGAAAGTTAATTTTGTTACAGAAAACTCTTTATACACTAAATAAAGGAGTTCCCAGAGAAAGACACATTCAGATTTCATTCATACTGATCAAGCTGTTCTGTGAGAAATTTCTTTGCTCTGTTGTACCTCTGTCCCCTCCACAATGCCTTGGGAAGTGGTGGACCACCTCAGATGTCTGCACCACTGTTTGCTAATTTGGAGGCTCATTACACACTAGATGTTTAGTACATCACTATTTCTGCATGCAAGGACAGTTATATTCAGTAGAAAGTTTAACTAGTACACAATTTTTTAAACCTTTTGGAAGATAACTGGCAAGCTTATTGTCTAAGCTATTAGCTACCATCTCACTTCTGGACACTGGAAAGTCCTTCTGTGTTAGAGAAATCACGAGCATATTAAATTTTCCACAAATAATTTGAAGCTACATACAGCTGAACACAGTTACAAAAGGTTTGATAGTCACTGTAATTATTATATATGAAAAATACACTTTGAGCCCCACTCAGAGAGGAAGTGGCTCCAGTAAAGTTTGCTGCAATTCTAATGAAGCCAAATTAGCTTCAGACAAAACACAGCTGAAGAGCAAAGGTTCAGCTTTGGTTTTGGCTACGACCAATATTTAATACAAGGAACAGGAATTTACATTACTTTACATATTGGATAGCAAGTCCCTGACCTCAGCATGAGGTCTGGTAGTTTATGAGTCAAACTTAAATTACTTTCTCAGTTATAATAACCAAGTATCAGTTTTGTTCCTTGCAAACTTGTATCATAATATTGCTTCAGAAAATAAACCCAAGAGCCAATACCACAGAAGGTTCCAGGTATAATCAAGAATTCATTCCCAACCTGGATACTGTAAAAATAAAGGAAGGAATAGCCAAGGGGCAGAGAAGTTATTTGAGCTCTGTGTATGCACTAGAGAGCTGCTGGGCACCAGCCAGTAGTGGCTGCTCAGATGTGCAAGAAATGCCAGTTTTATGAGGACCATCACAGTGATGCAACGCTTGGAAGAACAGAGAGTAAAAAAAGTAGCATTTTAAATACCGAGCATGCTTTGTTTCATTGGCTTCGGCTGGCAGCAGTAACTCCACTGGCTTCATATTTGCTCAGATAAGACCATCTATAATACAGTCATCCTAAAAAAGGTGCTTATTTCAGGCTACTGAACAGTGAAACAAATAAAGCCTCTAAATGATACATTTGACAGCAAACTGCTCTTAGTCAAGTGCTCATCTTCCACTCAAGTGAATTAGGACAGCAATCACTTCCCAGCTACCTCACTCAATGTGTGGTACTTCATGACAGGTTTTCAAACCACTTTTCCTTCTAAAGTGAAATGTATATTTTTAAGGTATTTATAGTAAATAAATTGAAATGGAGTAATTTCAGTCTCGCTACTTACAGATCATAGAATAGATGCCCTGTGTATTATTAGTGCAGATATACTGGAATTGTTTTCCTTGTTTGCAAGGCCAATGCAGGTAAAGAATAAATGGCTATACAAATTCAGGATTCCCCACTAAATAACAGAACTAACTTAAAAAGCACTGGTACCAGACCAGCCAGATTTAGGCACATCTTTAAAAAAATAAAGTATGCATTTCATTAATGTAAAAATGTGAGAAGGTTCTTAGAAACATCTGAACTTTATGGTGCACTGGAATGGAAGTGATGTTCCTTCAGTTTCAAGGAATACAATAAAGGCTTAAAACAAAACAAAAGAAAAAGAACCAATACCATAGTATTCTTCATAGGGAAGAACAGTTTTCATAAAACCAGGAAGATAAATAAAGATTAATAAGCAGCCATGACAGCTGACTGGTGAATATTTGTGCTTTAAATGTCCAAAAGAAAATAAAAGTTCAGTAACTCTTCTCGTACCATCCCCCAGATCTGGCATCTGTGTCCACAGACCTTGACAGTTCCCAACACCCTGCAGCCTTCCCAACGAGCTGGAGCCAGTGGCACCTCCACCAGCAGCATCCCGGGATGGGCTCCCAGCACGGCTGCATGCCGCCTGGGACGGAGCTTTGGTTAAGACTGTTGTGTGAGCCGTCTGTAATGAGGTAAAACTTGGTTCTCAGGGAGATACAGAGCCAGTTCCAAAGCTACGAGGACAGTGAATTCGAAACCGATGAGATCCCTTCTGTTGAATCTGAATCTCTCTTCTAGTTTCTACGACAGTGGTAACAAAACCAAACAAAGGAGGGGAGAAGGGATTAGTTAATCCAGGTGATTTCAAAGCATTGTTAGATTAAGTCAGTGATGCACAGCCTGAGCTGTATCTTCAGAATCAAAACCAGCTTATCAGCTCAGCTGTGACACCCACACAACAGTGACTGCTTCTCTGGCAAACATATGCAAGTGCAAAAATAACTTTACTGTAGCATCAGTAAGACACTAGCCTGCACCAGGCAGATAGTTTTAATGAATTAAAATAATAAAGCAAGGAAGAGCCCTAATGAGACAAAACTGTCTGGAAAAGCTGGTCTTCCATGCAAGCACATGCCACTGAAAACCTTGCATTTAATCTTTTCCTAAGAGCTAGGGAGGAGGTTCTGACAATAGCTGCAACAAGGCTCATAGCACTTACATCTATTAGGTGTTTAACTTCATGTTTCCTGAGGTCACTGCTGATCTTGGCTGCGAGCAGAACACAAGCACCAGCACACAGTTTGCGGTTCTGTTTGTTGAGTTTGCCTTGGAGGACAAGCTTCTCAAAGTAAACATAAGCCATGGAGACAGTCACCGGCTCCAGACTGCATTCCTCACTCAGGTTTCTCATCTCTCTCTTTAAACTGGGAATAGGAGAAAAGACAACCCCCCCAACCCGACATGACAGATTTTATTAAATGCTGTATAAATACTGCAGCACAGCAACTCAGAGGAGCATATGGGCAAGACCCCTATTTGGAAAACCATCACAAGTATTATCCTAGAGTGGAAAAGCCCAGTTGGCAGCAAACTGGTGCTGATGCACAAACTGATTTCACCTGGCTGACAACATCCACTGTAATAGAACAATTCCCCATCTGCCCATAAACACCAGAGCTTAGCTGCCTCACTGACACACAGGCTACTGCTGTAGGATTCCTTCTGGGCTCCCAAACTGGTTTGTGATTCATATCATAAGAGTGAACCACTGTGACCTACAGAAAACCACATCAGAACCCTGCAGATGTCAGCAGCTGCTGCGTAGAGACCGGTCTAGTACACACATCGTGTAAGAGCCATGTGCGAGGTGAAGGCAGCCTTGCTTTCCACACTTCCCACATAGCCAGCCCTTCACCTCAGCATTTAGGCAGGCTTGGAGTGTGGATGGCAGCCCTGAGAGGAACCATCCACACTGTGCCTGCATGATCCCTGCATGAGCACACTGCTCTGAAATGCTGCAAAGAGGAGCATGCAGGACTCAGAACAGACTGCCCAAGCAAACCTTCCCCTGGAGCTGAGCTACACCTTGCCCTGGTGACGCAGCAGAATTGTGTTTAAGCTGGCTATTTCAACAGGCCCTGACTGCATTAACACCCTGTAACACCAGCAAGATTACAGCTCTCTGAAGGTGCAACAGTGCGTCTTGGTGAGGAGCGACCAGATGCATTTACTCAAGGATGAGAAATTCTGTTTGGCCTCCACAAAAATCTTTTCTTTACCAAGTCTTCCCGGATCTAACACTCTTTATCCTACAGTCTTGTTAGAGTCTGTGGTCATCAGTGAGTCTGGTAATTGAAAGGCAAAAATAGCCAGAGGGCCCAGAAAGCCAATCCAGTTGGAGTGGGATTGCAATGCAGACAAGCAATCAGGTTACAAGTGTTTGTTTCAAAGCTAATGCTACTCCACTGTTAATTGGCTCCTAGTGTTAGTACACCACGGTTGGTGAAACAAAACCCTTGAGGTGGAACTTTGAAAACCAACTGTTACCCTTTCTCAGCATCCTAAACATTCCAGTACAGGGCTGTCATCCTACAGTCAGCTCAACTGACAACAGGAGATTACTGTTTAATCATATATGCTATTAATAGATTTAGTATTTGCTCCATACAAGTGCAGCCTCAGACAGTGTGGACGATGTTCTTGTTATTCAAGGCTTGTTTCTTACCTCCTAATTTTGCTCAGTGTCAACTTGATATGAGGAAACTTCTCTCTAAAGGTTTCATTCATATCCTTTTTAAGGTCTGAGGGTTTCACATACTCTATGACTGTAGTCTGAAATGCAAGAAGCAAAATTTATCATTTGTCTTGTAAACAGGACTGACAGCCAAACAACTCTTCCAAGAACACTAATGCAAAAGCAAACTTAAATTTTATTATTCACAATTTAACCTTTCTGAAATGTCCCAAAGCTGAATCCCAGCTATAGACAAAGTCTTTAAAAAACCAGTAAAAGAAATGGTTACAAGAAGTAAATGATAACATGAAGACATGTGTCAGGTTGGCCCTTGACAAGCTCACTGCACAAACTCAACTGTTTGTATTTTTCCTGATCAATTATTAGGAAAACCACTTTTTTTTTCCTAGAGGAATTTTTTTCTTCAAAAACCTCTTTATAGGAGGATCTGTCAGGGAGTCTCTCCTCTGTTCAGGTATACCAGTCACTCACCATGTAAGAGGCAAAGATGAGAACACGTTTATGTTTTCCACAGGGCCACTGAGGATCATCCAGAAGATCTGGATCATACTCTGCAGCTTCTCCAGCTTCGCTTCCTGAGGGAAAGAGGAAAGCACATTCGATCACCACATAAAGAGCTTTAAATTCCCTGTTTCCTCCTTAAAAAAAATTTCAAATAGCAAATGTTAAGTGTTGGCAGATCTCACAGTACAGGCGAATTGCAGCTACAGGCACATGTTTGCATTTCATAATGCACCAGTCACAAATTGGAATGATTAAATAAACCACACAAACTCTTCCTCCACCACACACACACCATGCCTCACACACCATTTTAGATTTAGTGCAAATTGAGTTTGCACCTACAAATATACCCAGAAAACAAGACTGAAGTCTTTTGCCTGTAGTCTAACAGACAGCAGAGTTGTCATGTTTGCTCTTTTACACAAGAGAAGCGATTCTTGGCACAAACTCTGGCTTATGCATTGTTCCTGTGCTAGAAGGCAAGGAGAAACACCTGGGTCCACGTACACCAGGCGTTTCTTGGTAATACAAAACTTTACATTCCCAAGGAAAAGTTTTCTGCCTCTTGAATGGCATAAGCAGAACTAGGCTAGATAGATGGAGAAAGTAAGGAGTTTGTGAAAGCCTCAGTCCTAAAAGCTCATCATTTGCACTGCACTAACGAGCTGCAGCACTTCCATCCCAGTAACACACTGACCATCTGCAGTTGTCTCAACAAATCTCTGCCTTTTCTGCTGTGTGCATGAGTGATGACAGAGCTGGCTCCTGTCCTTACCAATGTCTGTCCCTGCTGGTATCGTTTTTGCTGTCACAGGTTTGTATCTTGATCCAGGAAGACTCCGGGGAGCACTGGCTCGACACGGGGGAACAGCACCGTAGGCGTCAGCTTTGCGAACAACCAGAGCATTGGTCGGGTACAAGAATTTTGCATAGGACACAACCTGAAAGAAAAGAAAGTGTCAGTGGTTATTGGGGGAAATTTAATGAAAAGCTTATTTACAGACATCTAGGATTTTCCAGAGTCCCCTAGAGTCTGGGGATTTGGAGTGAGGACCTTGGAACCGTGAGACAGGAGGAAGGGAAATTTGGATGAGGTGTGCCTTGTTTCCACAACTTTAAAATGAAGTGATGTTGAAGATTTGGTGTGATGGCAAAGAAAAGGCGAGAATCACAGGTAAAATTCTGGCATATAAATTTAACTAAAGCAGTATGAATTTCATCCATATTTCTATCAAAACTTCACTCACATGTCACCTCAGATAGCAAAGTCAACTCAGCTCTCCAGAAACAGAGGCAGAAGTGATCACAAGCTTCAGCAGCCTCCTCAAAATGCTTCAGAAGAAGCATTATCACAAGCCATAATTTCAAACTATGGGTCTTAAACTTCCACTGCTCTGAAAAGCCACAGCTCTCACAGAATGGATAGCAAAGCACTGTATAAATTGATTTGTCATAGCATAAATTGGTCCCAGGGTGAAAAAAGAAATGTCCTTACCTTGCCATCAGCACCCAGCTCTACTCCTTCCAGTCCAAGCACCATCTCAGTAGAAACTGAAACTCCCCCAGAAGGATGTCGCTGTTTCTGTCCTTCCATTTTCAGATCACTAAATGCAGGTAAGAAAGAGAACTATCACAAAATGCAAGCCCAGCTTCCCATGGTAAACACCAACCAACACCACCAGGTCAGAGTTCTCCTGTGTGGAAACAAGCCAACCCCTCAATGCCACCTCCACGACCGCATCAGCTTTTACTGCTTTTTTCAAAATGTGGAGATGTTCATTAACCAAAGAACCAGATTTCATTTCAGCTTAACACTAATCTACCAATCTACCTATCGGAAACAAGCTGGTTTTAATATGATCTTTCTGCACAAGACCACACCGTTCTCAACCCTCTAATGCTCAAACACCTAACAGAAAACATGATTTACATTACTTGTTTTCCAAGATTAGAAACCTGCCTTTCAAGTGCAATTTTGCAACCCCTGTGCACACAAGCTCAAGTTAAGAATGAAGCTGCAGATCTCTGTCAGTGACAGCAGCACATGGCTTTGTCACCAATATTCCAATACAAAAAAGCAGTTTTCAAGTGAAGAACTACCTTGCCAGCTTGCAACCAGAACAGCACAGTGCTCAAAAGTGCTCTGAAATAGCTCCAGTGACCTTGCTGCCTTTCTATTATGTGGGAGAATTTTTTCCCATCAACTATTTTTATGGCATGTATTTGCATACAATACAATTCCCACCACTAAGCATCCGTTTCCTTTGTCCATAAGTTACGGACAGGACAGAAGTGACAACACAATTGTTTTGCCAGAACAGAATTAGTGTTTTCTATGGTATATTTGTAGATAACAGACCTTCACAGAATGGACTTAAACTTCACAAGGGACTGAAGAAAGATGCAGGGAAATCCAGTTTGTGGGTTTTGTTTCTCATAAATGATCATACCCACAGTTGTAAACAAAAAACAATAAAACAAACACTAAAAGCAGTGTGAATCAGTCCAAATTGTTTCTGCTTTTCTTAGGCTGCAAATAGTGACATTCAAGGCTTAAAGCTGAGAAACAGAAGAGCATCTTCACCTTATTTAGGTGTAAATTCACTATAAAACCTTGAGGATCTCCACTGAAGGCAGCAGCACCCTTCCCTGAAACTCCCTGCACTTTTTTGCTGACACCATTGTTTGTGGCACTAAAGACAGTTGATTTCTGACCTACACAGCAGCCAATCACATTAATTGTTCAAAGTTGATTTCAGAGATTTCACAGGGCTGGAGTGCTTTAAAAAATGTGAATAAACACTGGATGAAAAGTCTGCCTTTTCCACTATTTTTCTCTTGGAGTTTCAATAAACACTTTGACACTGGTAGTGTCTGGTTTTACTGCTCTGACAGCAAGCTCTTGTCCTTGAATGGTTAAATAGGTTCACTTGCTTCAGAACAGGAGACCCACATCAACCACACTCATTTCAGAAGATCTTTTGAAACAACAGAGCAGACATTTCACAAAGCAGTTGAAGAGACTCACCTGATCCGTAACCCCTCCCCGTAAGGTAGGATAGAAAACGCCACGCACAGTGTTCGTTTAGCACAGATTAACACAATCCTGTAAGCAGATGGGGAAAGATCAGGATATGAAATAAGATCCAGAAGTTACAAAGCAGCTTTTTATGGGATGTTAACAAAAGGCTCTTCTTATCTTGCTCTGCAAGTCATAGATACTGCTGTGGATTTAATGTTTTCAGAAAGCAGCAGAAGAGCAGAGGTTTCATGCTCACCCTGCAGGTCTTTGGGGCTCTCTGTCAAATCCCAGTGTTCAGGACCTGCCATCACCTTGGGAGCTCCTCAAAGGAGATCCTAGTCCTTTAACATATATCTGTATTTATGTAATTTTTACATAAACCCTGTGAAAAGATGTAGATAATATTCTACATTTAGATGAAACCTCACACTTCTATTAATAATAAACATGAATGCAGCCTCCCTTTCTCTTCTGCTCAGCAACCATGAACCAAGAATTTGGCTAAACAAAGTCATCCTCCTTAAATCCTCCTCAACTCAGACCTCTCTGTGTGCCTGAAAGGGTGAGAAATAAGAAATGTGAGAGAAGAAAAGAGAGAATGATTTAACCTCCTCAGAGTAGGATGGCAGAATCATCAGTTGCTGCAAATGTAGCAGATATGAGCACCTACCCCTTTTGATAGAAGACTGGATAAAACTAACTAGGTCCCAGGCCTTGTTACCCTCTAATTCTCACTGATACTAAATGTCTTACTGTGTGGAACTGGGGGCTGTTTCTTATTGCACACAAGTACAGAGGGAACCTCGATCTCCACACGTTACCTGCTGTTCTTGGTGTCATACTGCCTCATGTTCTTGATGAAGTGCATCTTCTTCAAACTTTTGTGTCTTGGAGACCCAGATATATGCTTGGTTCTGCAATGATAAAAAGAAAAACAAACAAAAAAGCCAAATCTGTTAAATGTTCTGGGAAAAATTCATGCCAGTTGTATGATCAGATGGCAGCAACAGCATGCAGGACCTCAGATATTGGCGTGGAAGAGGGTGGAGGGAGGAGAGGACTGCATGCAACGAGTTGAGGTTAATGCTGCTTTTGAAAAAAAGTACCTTCGTACACTGGCATATTCCACTATGTCTTCTAAAAAGTCTAGAGAGCAGCGCTGGGAGATAAAACGCCTTCTGCAAAATGTACAACACCACGAAGAGTGAACAGTATTAGTCCATGGCCTCCGAGTTTATGAACTGCAACAGATCTATGAGCTCTTAGGATGCATGGCAGGTTTTCTGGATTTTTGTTTTGTTGCAAGAGTGCTTAGTTAAGAGTTTAAAATTTCTTAAAAGGCCAAGAACTTGTCTCCCCCTCTAGGACCCTTGAAATACATTTTTATACCAACTTCATCAACAAGACCATTCATTATCTGCCACACAGAAGAACACCTACCTATAAGCTAAACAGCTAAAACAGCTTCCAAATATTCATTTAAAATCTGACAAAAATGTCACAAAAAGATGCCCGCATCAAGACAGGGGAATAAATAATTTTATATCAATTTAAGTTCAGATACTGTATGATGACCAAAGATCTGTGTGCATTCTCCATTCAGAACAGCTGTCTCCAGCTGCAGGAGTCAGCAGACTGAGAGTCTGTGACTGCAGCTCAATAAAACTGACAGATCTCTCTGAGAAACAATAGAGAGGGTTATTAGAGGAAGCAAAAAGTATTTGGCGCCCATGTGAAGTCCCAGAATGGAAGATGCAAGAATAACAGTAGGGCTCATGCGAGTTAGTGCAACAGTAATAGGATATTACATTCAAGCAAAGGAAAATAGACTTTGCCAAAATAAGATACATTACTATTGTCCAAGTCAAGTCTTTCTTTGATGGTAGAGATTGACAAATTAATTGTGCAACTCTGACTGCAATTTCCATAGGAACAATGCACTCCATCAGCAAAATGCTGACACTACAACTATCAGAGTCCACATTTTCTGCCTTTGTTTAAGCATGCATTGTGCTACACTTTTAGCACAAGCCATGTGTGTTCCAGTCCAAGGTTTTCTTCCCAAGTGACACAGGAACTCAACTAGTGGGCAGTGCTGCCATGGAAGTCAACGTAGAAGCAGCACATGGACAAAAGCTGCAGGACTCTGGTTTGACAAGATCAGCTTCTAGCAAAAAAAAATAAAAATCAAACCTCGAGCTGCAGCAGAGCAGACTCTCAGCTGCACTGTTCAGGCACTCTTAAAAGGAAGTAAAGCTCAGAACTCAAACAGGTAGGAGGATGAAAAATTAGTGCCCCTTTCTGCAGACACAAGGGAGGCAAACCCTCCCACAGGACTAACACCTTCAGTATTGCTAGAGACTGCCTCCTACAAATCCACAAGGTGCAACTGGAGAACATTCCTGGCACAGCTTCAACACCCTCCACCAGCACTTCAGTTTTAAAATTATTACTGGTCTGCTGCTTTTCAGCAAGAATGGCATAGGTATGTTTAACACTAACATTTACATGGTTCTCCAGTCTAATCTGGCATCTAAAATTCAATAAAAAACCCTTCATGAAATGAGGAAGTCACTGCAAACCTCCTGGCTCTAATGCAGTTGGTAACATCCACAGTCTTCCTCCCCTCCCAGGGAGACCTGGCTGGATGGAGACAGAAAGATGCCGTGTATGGCAAGCAGAGGAAAAACACAGCTAATGCCAGTGGGCACTGGTACAACAAAAGCACATAGTTCTGTAAAAGGATGCTTGATGTGAGTAACAGGATGGATTGGGAGAGCCATGGCTAGATCCTCACTGCTAACTCCACAGTGGAGACTCATCCAGGGCATTACACCTTCTGAATTCCCCCTTGTTTTCTCAGTAACAGGGACAAGAGTGACAAACACCTGAACTGAAAGCAGATCTGGAAGTAAAGCCCTGCTCAGTGAAGGGAAGATCCCACCCCTTGACTCAGAACCACAATGACTCATCCCCACTCTGCCAACAGGAAACTTCATTTTTAGCTACACTTGTAAATAATTTCTGCCCTCAGCGAAGCTGTCACCTTGGAGGAATCCCTGACGCTGAGGCAGACACTCTCCCTCCAATCTCAAAACGGGGTGTAAGTGAAGAATTCTCACTAATCCAGAGCACCTGAAACAGTCTGTAGGCCTAAGCCAACACTTTACAGCAAGCCAGCACCCTCAACATGTTCTGAGAGAGTCACTAATGCAGTACTTGGAGAACACAGCAAAATCTGACATTTTTTGAGTAGTCTGCACTTATATAAATGCACACACACATATATTTGCTTTAGTTTGAGTGCTCTTCTCATGCAGCAACTCACACTTGCACAATAGGCTGCACAGGGTCACTCCAGTGACTGCTAACTTTGATGACAAAAAAATGTCAAGTCACATATCCTGTGCCAAGCAGCTTCACCTAGGATAACACTTCTTGCTATGGTCCATGGAATTTGAAGGATTTTAAGTGGTTTATACAGTGTGTTTGTGGCTGAAAGCAACCCAAATGCTAATACCAACATCTCTACATATGCTGAGTTACATTATGCATCCTTACCCATGTGTGACCTGGCAAATAGAAACTGAAATACCCAATATTAAAATGGTCATGGGTTCCATGGAGCAGGCTGTAATTCCAACAGAAAGTTCAAACATGCCTGTCTGCCAGCACCAGCCATTGCTCTGACAAGTTATAGAGGGTTTGGGTGCTTATACGTCCCTGACCACAAGCTCATTTTTGGGCACTTCCCAGACTTTTATTTCAGGTGCCAATAAAGGCCAAAGCAGGACACTCCCAGACCATTAAAAACAGGAACTGTGTTTACAGAGCCAGCACCTCAAGGGGAGCCATCAAGAGCAAAAACACACAGAGCACATGCCCCGAGATAAGGGGCTATCAAGTAGAGGAATTTTGGATTACGCCGTGGCTCGTTATCTCCATGTGCACACACGGGCTGACACAATCCAACACCGCTGCCAAATCTCCAAACCAGCTAAACACACACTTACAAAAAGCCCACACAAACCCCTTGTGTCCAGAAAAAAACCCAACAAATTATCTTCAGAGCTACATTTTGACTCCTGCCCTGGGAAGCACCAGCCAGCCCACACATTTATTCTTTTGATGGATCTCCCATTGAGGAAACCCAGTGTTTGAGTGCTTCCATTGGATCTCTCTGCAGAGACTGCACACTGGATAAGCAGCAGTGGGATCCCCAGCCCTGAGGTTGACACAGCTCTTACAGTGCTCCCAGCAGGACAGGACACAGCTAAGAGCAATCTATGTATAGCAGTGGTAATCCCTGCATGGCCTGTCTTCCGAATGGAAAGGAGAAAGCTTGTTAAGTCGCTGCTCCAGATTAGAGAACACTGACCTTTCTGATGGACTGCCAAGAGTTTTCTCCCTCTTCCCACCTGCATTGGGCTACCTGCAGACACTCAGGAGGACACAGGTAAAGCTTTGGGATGTTCCTGCAGTTGCAAGTGTGTGAGTTGACCGTTCTTCAGCAGGTACTGAATGCACGGGATGCTGTCAGATGTGACTTCAGGAACAGACAAGCCTCTTTCACTCCTGCTCCTGGGCCACTCACACTCCTCTAAGGCACTCCTTTGGGCACCCATGACCCCAGTCTGCACTCACAGATGCTGCAACAAACAGCCCCCACAAATCTCATTTTAACCCCTTAAAGTTGGGCCTTACCCAAATACTGGGCCTGACAGTGGCTGATGGTTTTTCTTAAGCCTGTGTGCACTTTGAAGCTTCCCTCCATTTTGCCCTTCTAGTTCCTGCATTTCTGCCACAGCAGGTGAACAAACGAGCTGGCTTCCTGAAGGGTAAAACTGGAAGTTTCTAAAATCTCACAGTGCTTCTCCCCCATCCTGATTAATCCCCCTCTCTCTCAGGCACAGGGCTGCACTCTGAGCCCACCACACATCCAGAGTTCAACCAACATTGAAATGCTTCCACCAACACAGCACCCTGAGTTCATCTCATGCTGTGATCTCTTGCTCTCATCACCTCCAGGATCACCAAGCCCTGCAACAGGAGTGTTCAAAGCCGCTGCCAAAGCTGGACATGGCCCAAGCCCTCCTCCAAGGGGCCCAGCAGTGTGGATTTGTTTCCAGTGGAGCTGCATCCGTGGCCCTTCCCATGCACGCACCCCGGGCACTGGGCTAAAATTAGCAGCAGGGCCGATATCCTCTGTTGCTCTTTAGCCATCCATACTGCTAACAGATGAGTGGAATGGGGGAGGTCAAGGATTTTTAATTACTGTGTAAAATTAGGGCCTAATAGAATTTGGTTTCCTGTTTCTCACTTGAGTTTTATTTTAATATGATGTCCCTTTGTAATGTCCTTCACAGGTCTCAGTATGATCCCATCTGTCAAGAGGCTGAGTTATTAATATAACAAGGACAAAAAAATCATTTATTGGTTTTTGGAAGCACTAGCTTAGAAACAACTGTCAAAGGTAATTTGCACAAGAAATCCAGATCCTGTTTACAACAGGAAGATATACCTGTCAGCTTTGTTTTTCCAAGACCTATTTTAAAGATTAAACTGTATTGTTTTTATTCCTTATGGGGAAGACAACAAACAGATATGAACTGTTCTTGAGCTTCACTAGGCAAAATACAGGCATTAGGAGATTAAGAAAGCTACTCCTTGTATTTAAGCCTGCTTTTTAGCAGCTGCCATTTCTTCTGCAGCCCAGGAGACATTCACTGATTTCAGTGCATCCTGAGCGGGAGCATCCCTGTTCCGCTATCAGTGCCCTGTGCCTCACCACCCTCGGCGCTCACACTAATGAGTTTCCTGCTCAAAAGCAGATTGAGTACAGCTCGCTGATAGCAACAAGTTCTCAGTAATTAAAGCCAAAAGAAGCCCAAGACTGCATTTACACTGAATCACACCAAAACCACGTCTTTGGTAAAACAAATGACTTCACAAAGGATCTGTACCATGAAGTGCCCAGCACCAAGCAGGCCATTTCCATGGGTGGATGATTTCAGCTCAGATGTTCCTTGAGAGGCAGTGGCAGAGAAGAAAGACACTTGGCATCAACCAACAGTAAGTGTACAGCTCAGTGCTGCTTCTTCACAAAGTCAGCTACTCGCTGTTTTATGGCACCACAAATGTGCATTTGGATTGCAGGCCACCATCCCAGGAGCTCTTT